TGAAGCGTTAAACCACTTCACGAGACGGAAACTAGGCAATGACTTTATTTTGTGTCCCTATCCAAATGGTTCACTAAGTTTATTGTAAACTATATAGTGAACAATAACCACACGCTCTCCAAATTGTTTGATGTGTATAACACAATTGAAATAAGTTTCAAGAGAGATAGTGGGAGTTTAGGGACCATGACTATTGTAGTCAAAGGAGAAGTCAAATGAAGAAGGCGAAATAACTCCAAGGGAACAAACTTTCTTTATGAAAGGATGGACATTGGAAGGGGTATTTGCAAGAAATGTCTTGCAAGTGTCAAGAACACACCTTTCGAAGGTGTTGTAAATTGTTCTTGAATAGTTCAAAAACAGTTGGTTCTTCTACTTGAATGTGTTTGATTCCGTATTAGTAACCATGTTGTACAATCGTTGTAAATGTGTGACTAATAAGTAGAAGATTAATGAGAGAAGAGAAAGTACTTCACATTCGGAACGTGAATCAAATGTAAATCTCTGCGAAAGCAGATAGTACTTACTTCCTCATATGAACTACCAAAGAAAATTGGAAAAACCAAAGATTGTCTTTACATTCCAATTGAATAAAGGAACTTAATTCCGTATGAGAAATGGATGAATGTTTTGTTTGACAAAACATTGTTCTTTATTAATGAATGATTAGATTATTGTAATCTAATTGATTATCTCTATAGTAGAGATGATATGGTAGTGTTAACTGTTTAGAATATAACGATGCTTAAAACCCAAAAGGTTGCAAGGTAGTGACTAATCCCAACTGAGTTGTGATACCTCTAAAAACATAAATTACGAGTTGGTCATAGATGGATGCTTTGGATCGTTAGATCCGGATCCAATACCTTCTTGTTAAAATTGTATAGAGGCAAAATGTTTGAATCTTTATTCTTTTGGAAAGGAAGAAAGAATCACAAAGTTGTTGAGGTTAATTCACTTAGATGTTAGTGGCACTTGTCCACAACATAATACTACTCATGTTGTATGACATTCACCGAAGATCGCTCTCGGTTGGACTATCGTTTATTTTGAATAAACACAAGTCCGAATACTTTGCAAAAGGTTTCAAAGAATTCAAGAAATGTAAGTTGATGAGTAAGACGTCTAAAGTATTTACCTCCTTAGATTTGATCCAAGGAAAGGTAACACTTTAGAACAGTTTCCTTGAAAGATATCAAGGAAAGAAGCATCATAAGATAATGGATTTCTCCATTAGGAGAAGAACGAACTTGAATAAGATTTAGTTTATTGGATGTTATCAATTACCCATATATAGGATATATATATACTTCTAAGAAGACAATATGATTGTCAATTGAGAAGATCTTCCAAAATTTTCATGACTCCATAGGATGTAGTTGGAAAGAAAGATAAGTCTTAATTGTGTTAAGATTTGGGGTTGTGTGCTAATAAGCAATATTTGTTTGAGAATTATCTTGTGGATATCACTTCTATAAACCAACTAACAAATGTTATTTTGTTGGGTAGTTCATTGTAATCCTACAATATGATTTGCCTAAGCGCAAATGAACGAGAGATAGAACTCAAAGAATAGGTTCTTTGAGAGACAAGATGATAATCAACAAATATAACAACCTAATTCCTACACCACAAGCTCCAAGGTAGTCGAGAAGAATTTATAAACTGTCTCAGTTGAATGGTTTGAACTTTATGACTATGTCATAGAGTTACACCTCTTAATTCTAAGAATGAAAATCCTTATGACTACATTGAGTGTATATACGACATATACTCAAGGAAATGGTAAAGTACCATTTGACCCGAAATAATGAAACCTTCATAGCTAATTGGTAGCTTAAGGTGACTACAATCAAAGAGAATGGTTGACTTGGAAGAAACCATCTTTGACGTAGTCTTGGTTTCAATTAATTCAAAGATTGCTAGCTACAACTAAATAGTGATTCAATGTTTGGACATAATATGGGTTTTCGAAACCATTATTAAGATAGTCTTGATAATATATGTCTAAAACTATGAATCACAAGACATGTAAGTTGTAGAGATCCATCCATCATGAATCTTAGCAAGCTAGTGGGAGCTATAAGCGTCTTATGAGAGAAAGATCAAATCGTTTGATTTCTCATAAAGATGTAAATGAATCTTTTGTTTACTAGGTTTACAAAAGATTAGTGGGAGTTAATCATGTTCCTAAATTTGAATATATATATACATATATATGATATATTAATTTTGGAAATGAAAAGAATACTTCTTCGTTAAAGTTATGACTTTAAACATTCTATAACGATAGAATGTATATGGGAGACATAGTCTATAAACATGGGATGGAAATCTATAATGATAGATTTCAATGATATAATTGGATTATATCAAGCCCTAATGATAGACAAAAGATGCTAGGAAGTTTCTCATATGATGATAAACTTCAATAAGAAGAACAACTCTAGTAAGACTAGGAGGTAGCTCTTCTCAAAGGGAACGTACCCTTTGACTCCCAAAGAAATAATGCGTAAATAGAATCCTTTATGTATACGCAAAAAGGTGATTTATGTATTTCATATTGTATGAAAAACGTTGATATGAGTTGTACCAAGATCGGTACAAGACGATATCAATGCAAGCCCAGGATTAGAACCATGACAACTGTCAAGTGAATCCTTACGTATTTGAGAAATAATAAATGATGGATTCCTCAAGAATGAGGAAGAATTAGAGTAACGTAATGGAAGCGTAAATGTATTAGATTATGAATCTAATCCATCATTGGATGTTTCTTCATTATCAAATGAAGAGATAATCAGATATCTCTTTATTATGACTAAAGAGATATTTGGATGAAAACATTAAAAGTAATGACTTTAGTGTGTTCCATTGTGAATTCAAAAATATATTGCCATATAGAAGCTTACAACAATGTTGTTTGGATGAGAAAGTTCATTCATGAACTCTCTATTCGGTTCCAACCAGAAAGTGTCTCTAGTGTACCGACACTACGACACTAATGGGGCGATAGCTCAAGCCAGGGAATCAAGGTCTCATCATGATCCGAACTCAAATGAGAGACTAAACCACATGATTAAGAATCATGTATAATGGTGACGTCGTTATTCTCAAGGTTGCTTCTATGGATAACATATAGATATCCATTGTCTAGGCCTACTACTCAGCCATTTTTGAAATGACTACAGAAGAGGTATCATCATTGATGACCAAGCTGATTGGCTCTAGTGCAAGTGGGAGATTGTTGGAAATGTGCCCTAAAACCAATCATATGATGATACTTTACGGACATTTCACATGTTAAACTAATATAGTTTAATTTAAAGGGTAAAGATTATTGTTTGAAGCCGTCTCATATAAATGTTATACACTTAAACAATAAGTCCAAAGAATATGTAATTGGGAGAATGCGATCTAAAGAAGTTAGATTTATGAGACCATTCTCTTTCGTATACATATCCTAAACGTTCATGATCATAGGATTGCCAATTGGACATTGACAGTCCATTAAGATCAGTACGTGCTATGTCTTCTCTTAGGGAGAGTGACTGGTCTCGAGTCATTAGTGTGACTGACACCAAGACAACCATGTAGGTGCTCAATAGAGAATGAGTTCACTAAACACGATCAACAATGAGTTCTCATACTCATGTCACATGAGAACTCATGGTTGGGATAATGCAAAGTAGTCATTTGACCTGAGGCATCATAGTTATCTTGTGGTTAGGTCGTTGATCTTTGACTATGTCAAAGTCACTCCGTCAGAGGGTGTCCACGCCATAGTTGGGGTTAAGCCACTTAGCCATGGAGGTAAGTGAATGCGCGTAACAAGGGATCTCTAACCCTTAAACCGTTTGAGGGAGAATACTCTATGATATGATTAAGAATCTCTGGCCAGAGTATGAATGAGATTTAGGAATTCGTTCCAAATCACATTCAAGGTAATCATATAAGTAAGAGAATCACATTGGATAGTAGACATGAATTAAACTATCAAACAAAACAATATGGTTAAGAGTATTGTATTAGAGAAAGACCGTATTGCATTGTAATCCTAAACTGAATAGGTTCTCCACCTCTTCTGATTAGCTTGGGTAACCATGACATACTGCTAGGTGCCACTCATGGTTTGTGGAAGCCCTAAACGTGTATAATCACTAAAGGGAGAATTGAAAGTAAGTTTCAATTCACAATCGATTTGAAAGAGTTCTAATCGCCCACTGCCTCGCTAAAAGGAACCTAATGGATCGTATACCGTGTAAGGTAGAGATTGAAGAAACAACGGAGATGAGTAAGGATAATTAAATGGTTTAATTATTTATGGTAAAGATTAATTAATATGTTAATTAATCAAACGAATAAAGTTCGTTAAAGACCTCGGGTTAGTTTTGGGCCTCAAGGCCCAATGGGTTTCGAACGTCAAGCCCATTGACTTCAGTTGTATGTCAACTTAATGACTAATAATTCACAAAGGCCCAAACAGCCCAATAAAACCCTATGGCTGACCATATTGATAAAGGAGTGGGTTTTGGACTTATTACAAGTTTGCCACTCCAATGAAGGTAGGTATAAATGTGACTTTATAGCCTTTTCTTTATTAGGGTTTCTTTTGGAGAAAATTGGATGAGAACATGTCTCTCCCTTTTCTCTCTAAGAGGCCGGCCACCCTAGAGGATTTTAGCTAGCAATCTTACTTCCTCTAGGTCACTCATCTCTTCTTCAAGTCCTTCCTTGGTGTGGGGACTTAGAGGTTCTCAACTTTGGGAACTTAGAGAATCCTTTCAACCATTCTCATCCTAGAAATCCATGGAGCTAAAAAGCAAGGAATGAAGCCCCTCTTCTTAGGTGATTAGCCTTTGCTTATGCAAAGAGGAATCAACAAAGGTATAAGATTTCTTAACACATTTTGTTCTTGAGTTGAGTCTTGATTCACCCTTCTACTAGGCTTAAATTTCATGGGTAATGTTTTGTTTTGAGTGCATACAAGCATGATTCCACCTTTAAATGTTAATTGCATGTCATAGATATTGCTCAAATGAACATGTTTTTCACAAAATTTCCTTCAGCCCAAAGGGTCCTAACAATCCCTCCCCCTTAAAATGAGGCATATCCTTATGTCGTCAAGTTGGCATATAGAGGCTTGCACTGCTTGTTCTCCCAAACCTTGGGGTTCCAAAAAAAGTAGGGGTGTGATATCCACACATCCCTTTTTACTTCTCACACACACTTAGAATTTTCGGTCGTCGGATCAGATGAATTGAAAAAGATCAACAGACAGAAATTAATAAATGGTGTATGTGAGAAGTAAAAAGAGGTGTGTGGATAGCACACCCTAAAAAGTATCATGATAGAGGCCTCCAAAACCAGTGCAGTGTGATTCTCAAAACAGACCACAAGAAAATTGGCTGCCAAACAAAGTTTTGAACCAAGCCTACCAAGTTGTGCTTCTACCCCATGCATGATCTCTGTAGAAGTACAGGAGCCATGAAGCACACATCTCATAGACTGGTATTCAACCTCTCCTTTGGTTTGACAAAAGCTGAAAGCCTAAAAACCATGGCTGGCAAGGGATAGAGAAGATAACAGAGGAGTGCCAATTCAATCCTAGCTAACTTGACCTCAGTTGCTGAATATGTACCTGCATATACGCTTAGTGAAAATGCTAAATTCCCAAATCATCTAGCATTCCACAAGCACACTAGCTTCCAAAAATCCAAAAAAGTGATATAACCGAAGAACTTGGGCCTTAATGAACTTGATGCATATAATGCTATTGAACAAAGACCCAAAATGATCTTCAATTTATAGCATGCTACATTCTGGAAGGAGGTATCATCCAATTTGGTGTTGATCGAATAATAATCTTACATCCTCGGAGTAAGTAGTGATGCATCAGACAAATTGGCATCGTCAACACAAGATTGCATCAACTCTGCCAAAAGTGACAGCTCTTTGACTATGAAAGAATGATCTGCAAACAAAATGGCCCAAGTCTTGATATCATGAACATTTCCAAAATGGCTCAAAACACAATACATCACAATACATGTTTGTTCAAGACTCTTGGCAGTCCAAAGTCCCAAAATGGCGTGGTTATATATAGTGTGGTCCAACTGGACCCTAACATTTCTCACCAGCTTGATAATTAGCTCAAAACACCCTGTTCCTGTGTACTGTGTAAGACATAGTAGCCTTAAACATCCAAAGTAGATATAGTTTATAACTTGCTGATAGGCTCCATAAAAGTATGTGCCATTGATGAACATAAGGGAAATAAGAGCTTAGAAAAGATATTGCCAGATTGAATTAGAGTAGAGCAGTAATCCCATTGTCATGAAAATTGAAGTAAGCAAGGCCTAAACTAGCATGTCTTGCACCAAATTGCTCCAGGAGCGGAGGATGCTCAGTCGCATGCTGACTGCAACTTTGGAAGAATGATCATCTAATAGAAGTTCTTAATCTCAACAAGATTAGGAGAAAAAGAAGAGCAACCAATATGCTCAGTACCCACTGCTAGAGAAAAAACCATAGAAATCAACTTCTGAAAATTAAGAGAAAGTGACTTTGCCATGATTTGGAAAGGATCGGGTATGTGTCCCCGGATAAGAATTGCAAACACTTCATCTTCGTGTTTAAAATGTCCATCTGTAGGCCATTTCAAGTTGGCAGATTTTTCCCAAAAGGCTGATAATGGTTCTAGTAACACATCTGTTGTAATGGGAGGCAAGTAGACAAGCTGATGTCATAGTATCAATCATATGTCTAGATAAAGTAAAAGTGGAAATTACTTTCGTCAAGCCACTCATGAACGTGGAAAAAATACTATGGCCTATCAAGTTAAATTATTGGTCTAAATGGTAGAATAAACCATGGAACCTCTAGCAGTAAATCTAGAAGTCTGTAGTGCAGTTTGCTGCAGCCTATCAATTGTGTCAAAATTATCAAAATGGATTCCCCAGTGCGTACTGTCCAAATTAAAACTGAAAGCGGTCAAAATCCTCATATGATGACAGATTTCCCCAAGCAGTATGTCAAAGAGCGATATATGAACAGAAATTTTTGTGCATTGTATATATCCAAAAAACTACAGAGCACTAAAAATTGCTATAATCAGTTATGGATTAATGAACGGAATGAATCTGAAAGACTTACAAATGCCACTGTCCTGTAAATCTTTGGAAGAAAGGGAAAGTCCATTTTGTTGTTCATGGTGAGCAAGTGCCATTAGCTCCGCTTTCACAGCAAACATTTGTTTTGAGCTCAAAACATGTTGAACCACCGAAGTATTACCCAACAAAAAGTGCAATTGTAGCCAATCCCACTGCTGGAAGTATTCCAGGTTGTGGTCATTCCTAAAAAATAACTGCTGAATATGATAACAAAGGAACCTTCCTTGGAATACAGCTCTCGGTCCACTTGGATGACTTCGCTTCCTGCTAACAAAAAATTCCCACTTCGGTGCTTGCCTAAGCATCCTTAAAAAAGTATCCATAGCACACAAACTTACCCCTACAAAAGTGCCAGTTAACAAGGTAATGGGAGAGCGCAAAATGGTCTCAACATCACGTTGAACAGTGCTAGCTAGGAAAGAAGTATTGAGGAACTCCCAGGCAGGAAAATGTGGGGACAAGGTAGGGTAAACCTTCTTGGTCACAATACGAACAGATTCAAATGCATAAATAAACACATCCTTGGTGGAACGTTCCCCAATTTCAATAAGCAGAAAATCAGGAATCGATTTTGGAATCTTTATCCAAGGAAGCTGATCAAGTAAAAGGTCAGGCCTATATTGCTGGCCAATTCGCTCTGCCGCATTTTGTCAAACACATCTTGGGCAAATATGTTTCCCCTACTCACAGAGGAAGTAAACACAATCATTGCCCAGGTCACCTGATATGTAATAAAGTCCAAATTCAACCGTGCATTGTGCAGCGAAGGATGTGATACGGGTACCTGACGGAGACGGACCTTGTCTGGCGCCTTAGGTAGGGGGGATTGGGTGGGCAATCTAAATAACAGTTGCCTTAGGAGAGAGTTTTTCCATCGCATCAGTAGGGTGACTGAACAAACGGTGGTACAACTCACTTATCAGTGCAGGTTTGAAAGTAACACTTCAAGTGAGATGCGGCAACATCGTTAACCAGCATGGTATTGACGAGACCGTTATTGCGAAAGTAGGAGCACAAGCTTGATTCTACAGACGAGGAGGAAAAGTGTGAAGAGTTTGTGGACTGTCAGTATCCAAGGACCCCTAACTTAGGCTTCATCTTCATCACCACGGAAGAAGTCATTTTCAAGAAACGATTGATTTGCTTAGAAGTATGGCCAGAACGATCCGTTATGCGGGAACCCTCAACCGTTACGGAAGCCCGGGTCCTGGATGGAGTTGCCATTGCTGTAAAAAACAGAGATGTCGAAAAAAATGGTGGAACACGATGGTTTCAGAGTTGCCATGTTGTAGATGATGGAATCCGCGATGGAAGATGTGGTGCGGTTTGAAAAGAGCCTATGGGCGATGTGGGTGAAGACCCAAGTTCCGGTGAAAAAGAGGGAATCAAAACCGCTGAGAATGAGCAAGGAACCTTCATAACTGAGTCCAAATATGGAATGTAGGTTAGTGGCGGCGAGTATAATGAGAGCCGCGACGACGCTACGGTTGAGCTAGGAATGGAAGGCGCCGAGTCAATGGCACAGGAAGGGTTTTATCCAAGTGGTAAATCCAAACCCTCCAGTGGAGACTCTATCCCTTCTTCTCCTTCCATAGTCGAAGTTTGCAACCTGTCTTGGCAAAAATGCCGAGAGGACACAGAGTCCGTACCACTCGTAACCTGCTTGCCCAATACTTCACAGTGAAAAGCAGGCCCGAGCACTGCTGTGGTGACCTTAACGTCGGGTGTGGACTTCGTTGTCCCCACGAAGTCCGAATCTGGAATGGTCATGGTCAAAGTTGTAGGGATCGAGAAGGGGTGGGTGAAATGGAGGTCGTGGGTCGGTGGAGGGGGCGGGTAGTGGTGGGAGGAATGTGGGGTCTCAGAATCGAAAACTAATGAATCTTGTTCGTATGATAATGGAGGGTAAATTTGGGGATCGTGAAAATTAGGGGTTGTGGCATAGTAATGAGGGATTTGAGGGACGTCTATGGAGTCCGAATACACAACGGAAGGTGGTGCAGGATTTGAGGGACGTCTATGGGACTGGTAAATGAAGAAGCTATGGAAAGCTCAGGCATATACGAGGCTGGGTAATCTGGTGGTCGATAGGTAAGATCCAAGGAAGGAAAGGTGGGTTTATACTCGAATGGAAACTGGTAGTGATCGGGAGGAGGATGAGGTGGTGAAGGCAGAGGAGAGGGCGGGGGCGGATTTGGATGTTTAGTAAACATTGGTTTCTGGATTCCAATAGAACACCATACCATTGGAATCATCCGTTACACTTTTCCATGGCGCTGGAAGTGTGGGATCAACAGGTCTAAACCATAGATACACGGTGGATCTCTGGTTCTGGTACCAATTGATAGGATCAGACATGGTAAAAGGGAAATTGCAAGCAAGTAAATGCAGGAAATGGAAAAAGAAATTAAGGGAAATTCATATCTTCATTCATGCCTAATTTAGATGAACATAGTAGTTTAAATACAGAAGGATGGTGTGACAACCGTTCTTAATTTTCCTATGTAATTTTTCTCCGAGTATGTGTATTGACGGTTATGCCCTTATTGGCGAGTGACGTGGACGTATTTATATCGCTTTTATTTTATTTCTCGTTATCACATTTAAATTGTATACGTTGTTACGAGTGTACGAGAATTTCTATCAGTGTAGAAACACTGTTACGAATAGATTTCGATTCCCTTTTCTGTACCAAATCTAAAACTCTATCCCTAACCTTCTATTTAGCCCATCTCGTGCTCCCCTTTATGTCATCCACCAATCCCTTCCACTCTCCCTTTGCAGCAACCAATCAGAAAAAGAGAAAAATGGACTCTCTTTATCTTCCTTTTCTCTCTCTCCCTCCCGTATACTCTCCCTCTCTGCAAACCTCTTGAACAAACCCTAAACCTCACAGATGGAGCCCAAAAATCACACCATTGTACTCCTCTCATCTTCACGAACACAACCATGTTCTTGAAACTCGGGATGGACGAGTTTTCGACATCGAACTCATGAGGTCCACACTCAGTGCTTTTAGTTCATCGTGTTTGGGACTGAGTTGCGAACTTTAGGAATTTTGAAGGCTTCCATTAAACTCCCCGAGATCCCTAGTGAAACTTTGGTGAAGAAGCCACGTCGAAACAACGGATTTTCAAAAAGTTCCAGTTTGGCCAGAACTTTCAAGGTGATTTCCGACCACCTCCGTCCACTTTTTGGACTCCAAACAAGTATAACGCCATTCTACATTTCATTAGCTTCAAACCATATAAATTGGGTTAAAAAAGGATGAGAAATGAAGAAGTTATGTTAATTCGAAATTTTCCCAGAAATCCGACGAAAATCAAGTTGCAAACAGCGACTGACGACGGCGACGGCAAGGACAATCGAAGAAGGTGACAGAATATTCCTTTAGAGTTGACGAAATATTCCTGACGGTGTTAGGTAACGCCATTAATCTCTGTTAACATTTAACAGAATATTCCTGACGACGTCAGACTAGCTGATGGCACTTGCCTGCGCGTAGGGGCATGTCTGGCCGTGCCATTGCAGACACGTGGGGGTGTGTGAAGGGTCCATAATTTATTCTAAATGTATGGGGATGTTCGTGATGTCGAGTAGGTCACGATGGTATATTTAAACCTTAGGTTTGAGCAAACTATGGAGGTTTTATTTAGGTTTACATATATGTGCTTTAATTAATTCGAAATTAGTTATTTCTCATATAGGGGAAAACGTATCCCGAGGACGTTCAAGGCCAAGCTAGGCTCGGGGGCTACAACCCAAAGACGTACTTGTGAGTGGGCAGTTTATTTTTATATCTATACGTATTTATAGTTTCCAAAATTGCATAAATTCATCACTTTATGTATATTGCCAAATAATTGATAACTGGGATATAATTGTGATAAATGCTGCTATATGGTTGAGATATTACTGTCATGACATTCATACATATTTGTACATGCTCATCTTGCTGCACCGGTGTTAGTACTTGCCCCAGGGCCAGGGCTAGTCCTTCACGTGTATGTTCACATCGCACCGTTCGCTCTCCTTGGATCCAGGTTAGGTGCCAGTCCTGTCGAGTAGATTGCAGTAGACAATCCGACTTGTATGTGACCGTGCTCCTGCACCAGCCTTCACGTGATCGTAGTACTAAAGCATATTGATTACACCTAGTCTTGTTCGTATCATAAATTATCTGTTCAAACTCGTGTGTCAGCCTAGATGGATAAGCACTTAGCTATACTTGATTATCACATAATTATATTATTGTGGCATTTGATACATCGTGCATATTTATGGTTATAATACTATTATAATGTTGTTGATTTATCGTTTACATACCTACGTAGTATGTTTTAAGGAAACTATACTTGTTTTACGGTGAGGGGTTAGTATATTCGAAAATAAAGGATTTCATATAAGCATTGTTTTGCTGACCCACTCAACTTTGTTTTTCACCCCTCAAGGACCTAGATAGTTGTACTCTTTGTGGCACTCAAGGAATCTCGGCAATTATGACATTCTCTTCTATTTAGACGTACGAACTTATCACTGTTATGTAATAAGTGTACTTTGATTGCTCTTCTGTAGTCTCACTGTCTATTATGCTCTGAATAATTGTAGTGGGATCTTCCCACAATTGCGCACTCTTTCACTATTTAGTATAATTAGTTTCAATTAGTCTTGAAATTATTCACTTTTTACATCACTTACCTTTATGGTTACGTCACCTCACGGTGATGCCCAGCATGCTTCGACCTTCCTAGGTTGGGGTGTGTCAGATGGCTAGGGTTTAGTAGTCTTAGTGGGCTTAACATTAGCAATGGGCCTAATAAATACTAGTAACCTATGGTGGCCCAAAGGGTCCTAACACAAGTCTATGGAAGTTTGGGGAAGAAGAATGGTGAGTGTGGATATGAGTGAGTTATTGGGAAAATTGGGGCTGTTGGGAAAATTAGGGTTATTGAAGAGTGGCTATGGGTGTTGGTCCACGGCGGAAAGGGGAGGAGGATTGCATAAGAATTAGGATTTTGTGTTCCAGCTGAGGGAGAAAGAGGGAAGATTGGGGAGAGATTTTTCAGTGTGATTGCCACACAGGATGGTACATCATGTGTTGCTATATAAATGGTGGGACCTGTGTGTTAAAAAGTTAATAACTTAAAAAATCTCACCACTTACATAAAAACACGTGATGTATCATCCGTGTTCCAGCCACAACTAAAAATTTCTCGAGATTAAGGATGAGGGCCCACAAAATTATTTGTTTTCAATTCATTTTAATTATTAAATAAATAACAAATAATTTTTTATTACTTAATTAATTTTTTATTTTAGCTGGTGAATGTGTGGGTCCTGCTTCTGTTGTGTCAGCATTTAATAGAAAAAATTAACAGAAAAGTTAACGGAGGTATGACATTGCAACAAATTCAAAAGAAGAAGTATGATATTATAATGTTTAAAACATGAGGTATGAAATTGTTATGCAACTCATAATTGAGGTGGTTATGTGTAATTTACCCTCCAATTTATATACAAATGGGAAATTTTATTTAAACCCATTCAGCCTCTTTTTACATCCAACTTAAAATTTAAATGTTAATTGCCTATTTTACCCTATTGCATAATTAATATTAAGTACAAAATGAAATTAATAATAAAACTC